GCAATTGTGAATTCCGCGTTGTGGGTACCACTTTCGGTGGAGCTCCCTCTGGGGCCACGAACCGTTTGAGGGGTGTGCCGTAATGGGGCGGCGGTGCCATGCGGACAATCCCGCTGGGGCCGTCGGCGGAGCTGGCGATGGGGCCACGTACCCGTGTGAATGGCGTGCCAAAATGGGGCGGCGGTGCCATGCGGACGCTCCCGCTGGGGCCTTCGGTGGAGCTCCCTATAGGGCCACGAACCGTGTGAGAGGTGTGCAAAAATGGGGCGGCGGTGCAATGCGGACGCTCCCGCTGGGGCCTTCGGTGGAGCTCATCATGGGGCCACGCACCGTGTGAGGGGTGTGCCGAAATGGGATGGCGTTGCCATGCGACACTCCCGCTGGGGCCTTCTGTTGAGCTCCCTATGGCGCCACGACCCGTGCGAGGGGTGTGCCAGCATGGGGCGGTGGTGCCATGCGGACGCTCCCGCTGGGGCCTTCGGTGGAGCTCCCTCTGGGGCCACGCCCCGTGTGAGGGGTGTGCCAGCATGGGGCGGCGGTGCCATGCGGACTTTCCCGCTGGGACCTTCGGTGGAGCTCCCTATGTGGCCACGAAGCGTGTAAGAGGTGTGCCAAAATTGGGCGACGGTGCCATGCAGACGTTCCCGCTGAGGCCTTCGGTGGAGCTCCCTATGGGGCCACGACCCGTGTGAGGGGTGTGCCAAAATGTGGCGGCGGTGCCATGAGACGCTCCCGCTGGGGCCTTCGGTGGAGCTTCCTATGGGGCGAAGAGCCGTGTGAGCGGTGTGCCAGCATGGGGCGGCGGTGCCATGCGGACGTTCCGATTCGTGGCCCCATCGGGGGCTCCACCGAAGGCCCCAGTGGGGGTGTCCGCGTGCGTCCGCCACGCCCAGTGAATCGTTTCGTGGCCCCACCCGGAGTTTCATCGAAGGCCCCAGTGGGGATGCCCGCATGCGTCCGCCACACCCAGTTCAACGCTTCGCAGCCCCATAGAGAGAGCTTCTCTCGGCGGCGAAGGCGGCGCGGAGGAAACGCCGACGCCAGCGGGTGGCGGAAGCGCGCAGGGCCGCGGGAGGCGCGCCTGGGCCTGCGGGGGCGCTGGCGGTGGCTGCTGCCGCCGAGGCGCCTGGCGGCGCGGTGCGCCGCGCCCGCGAGGCCGACGGCGACACGGCCTCCCTCGACGGCGAGTGGGCCGACGCCCTTCCCCACGCCCCGCGGGGGCGGCGGCGGCGGCGAGACGGAGACGCTGCGGAGCCAGCGGCGGCGCCCCTCGCGGCGCCTGCGGCTGGGGGAGCGGCGGTCCCGTCGTGGAGGTCTGCGCCGCGGCGGACGGCGTCCTGCGCCAGGCGACGGACTACCAGCTCTCTCCCAGCGTCCAGCGTCGAGCTCCGGCGCATGCTGGGGCCCGTTGGCTGGAGGCCGGTCGCCAGCGTCTGCGGCCCGCGGCGTCCTGTCTGAGGGAGTGGTTTCGGTGGTCTGCCTGCCCTCTTTCGAGGGCGACGCGGGAGGATGTCCGGCGTGGGCGCCCCAGGTGACGCCGCAGACCTGGTGCAGGGGGGGCGCCTGACGCTCGGGGCCCCTTTTCGGGACCGCTCTCGGCCCAGCGCCGGTGGGGGGCGCTTCGCTGCCGCCTCTCTTTGCGCGCCAGCGGTGCCGAACGGCGGTCGGGCCGCCCGAGCGTTGGGCACAACTCAACAAAAAGGCCCCCAATGGGGCCGCACGCGCCCGCCACGCGAGCGCAGCGCTTCGTGGCCCCGCAGTGGGCGCTCCACCGAAGAGGCCCCAGTGGGGGTGCCCGCGTGCGGCCGCCACGCCCGGCGCGGGTTTTCGTGGCCCCGCAGGGAGCTCCAGCGGAGGTCCCAGTGGGGGTGCCCGCACGCGCCCGCCACGCCCAGTGCAGCGCGTCGTGGCCCCATATGGAGCTCCACCGCCACGCCCTGTGCAGCGCTTCGTGGCCCCAACAGGGAGCTCTCCACCGAAGGTTCGCGTGCGCCCCGCCCATTGGCCCCCCCCCCTGCCCGCACTGCCCCGCTCCTCGTTTTCCCTGCGGCGCGCTGCCTATGAGAGCAGACGGTATTTACCGCGTGCGCTATTCGGTGTTTGCGTGCCCTCCTCTTTCGTCTCATCTCCCTCGCGGTTCCCGAAGCTGCATTTTCATCAGGCTAAGTTAGGTTCGTTCCTGAACATTCTCGGGGCTCGCGACGCGCCGAAGGGTCGGCGGACTGCTGGTCGTGCCCCAAAGCGGATCCGATTTTATCCTGGCCTCATCTGGCATGGTGTGACCTCGTAGTTCTCGAATGAGGTTTGCAGATTCGGTCCCTGATCGCGCCCACGCAGACCTCCCAGCAGTTGTCTCCCAACCCGCTGGGGCTCAGGTTGCTCGAGAGAGAAACCGGACGCAGGGACATGTTATCAAGTTGTGCCCTCTTTGTCTGTCTTCCACAGGGCCCCTTTTATCGTGAACAAAATCCCGACTGCAGGCGCCTCTTCCCGACCTTGGGACCGTCATCCACATTTCGTTGGCACCGCCAACCAAATATCTCGGACGAAAGAACTGTATTGGACACGGGGCCTGCGGCAAGCTTGCGCGTTGATAAAATCAAGGCGTCAGAGGTCTGGATGATGTTCTGTCTTCTGCCATCTTTCTTTTGCGAAAGGGCGGGTAACGCGCGGTCCCTGAACAAATCGCGCTGGCGACTCCAATTGCGCGAGGGCGCAACCCGTGTCCTTCTTCGCTTGCGCACGGGCTTCAGATGCAATGCAACAGGCGCACGCGTGTCTGACACCGTGTAAGAGGTACGCAAAGTTTCCGCGAGACTCGCACGTTTGATTTGCCTCTCGCGCACCAGCTGCAGCAATGGCGCGGACGAATGCCCTGAGACGGTCAGTTCTCCTCCTCCTCCTCCTCCCCGCTCCCCCCCACAGCACGGCCGTTTGTGTCACCTTCTGTGCCAATGACTGTCTGACGTACACGGCATCGACATTTCTGTCTTCTTAATTAACCATATCATTTGTAGTGTTCCATAGGAAGAAGAAAAACTCTCTCTCTCTCTCTCTTCGACGTTCTGGCCATATTGCTTTGTCGTCCCCCCACCATCAGGAGCGGGCGGCGTTGGCGGGGAGCCCCTCCAGCTGCCTTGTGGCCCCTGCCCGGGGGCAGGAACATACGACCACGACACATTGGTCCCAAGCGCCGCCCCCCGCACAGCACAGTGGACATGCCCACGGGATGGACGTGCGAGCGTGCGACGTACGGCCTGAAGCGAGCGTGTCCGGAGGGGAGAATGGGCCCTGGATCTCAGGGCCTCGCGGCGGCGGGGAAGGTCAGGAGGAACAGCGAGGGAAAAGCCCTGGAGCCTTTCTCTGCCAGGGGGTCGCTCTCTTCTTCATTGGTTTGCCGATCGGCGCGGGCCCTCGCCCCGCCCTTCCCCTACCCCCCCCCTTCCCCATGGAGTAGATTTTGGCTGCTTTTTGCGCCCGTTTCAAGCAGGCGGAGTCTCCACCGTAGGACGCATTGTTGCAAACAGTCGCATTCAGCAGAGGTCCGGAGACACCCCCCCCTCCTTTCCCCCCCCCTCTTTCCGCCCAATGTCGAGACGCCGAAGAAGAAAGCACTCTCCAGGAGCCCTGCCCTTCACTGCGACTGCCATCCTACAGTCAACGCGCCTAGTAAGGACGCGTGCCTTCATCTGGGGTGCCCTTGAGTCCTTACCTCTGCGGCCCGCCCTTCGCCGTTCTCACTGGCCGCCCCCCGCCCCAAAAATCCAACTTCGGCCTCCAAGGGTCTTGCGTCCTTACCACCCGTCCTGAATAAATCGGGGGTGGACAGAACCCCCAACAGTGACACGTCGATTAGTGAATTGTCCGTTTTCGGTTCTCGAGAGGGCGCCGTGGCCGTTATTTTCCAGGCTTGCGCCCGCCAGGTTTGGGCCTCAGGTCGTTTTCACTAAACCACGTTTTACGAAAGGGAGGTCTGTCCAGCCCCGAATATACGTTCTGACTGCAGTCCTCCTCGGCCCGACGCCGCCCGAGACCCCTTCTCCTGGGCCCCCTTCCTGGGGGGCCCCGGCCCGTCTTGCGCGAGGCGGCTCCGGGCGTGGCGACGAGAGGCCCACCCCCGGGGAGGCCCAGCCTGAAGGGGCATTAAGGTCCCGGGCCGGCTGAGCGGGCCTCTGAGAGGGCCCCTCGCCTCCCGGCGGGCCTCCCCGTCCCGGCGGGCCTCCGCAGCTCGGGCGGGCGACGGCCAGGATTCCTCACGGCAGCCTGCGATCCTCGTCCTCTGCCACCTCTTTTTCCCCCTCCTCCTCCTCCTCCTCCTCCTCCTCCTCCTCCTCCTCCTCCTCATCCTCATCCTCAGCATCCTCCTCAGCATCCGCATTGTCATCATAAGCATCATCAGCAGCATCATTATCGTAATCACCATCACCATCATTCCAGTTACCATCATTCCAGTCACCATCATCATCATCATCATCATCATCATCATCATCATCATCATCATCATCATCATCATCATCATCATCGTCATCGTCATCGTCATCGTCATCGTCATCGTCATCGTCGTCGTCGTCATCGTCTCGTCATCGTCATCGTCCTCGTCGTCATCATTGTCATCATCATCACCATCATCATCATCCTCACCATCACCATCACCATCACCATCACCATCACCTCCTCCTGGATGCTCCTCCTCGGTCTTGGGTCCTCTTCGATCCGTCGGAGGGGGCCCCGTGTAGTGACCACGCCGCTGAGTTTGCCAGGGAGCTCCGCGAAGGAATTCGGCGGATGGACGCTCCAGGGTCCCACAGGTTGGGCAACTGGGGCGTCTGTGCATCGAGCTCCTTTGGGCTTGTGTACGCGACGTGGTGTACACGTCGAGCCCTTGCTAGGCCTCTCCAATACCCGTCTTCTAGGCCCAGACATACCTTGAGCAGGGACCGACCGTCCCGGCATTCCTATAGTTAGACCTACAACCACAGGTTCCTCGAACGACAGGTGTTCTGAGACTAAATAGTCTGCTCTGAGATCCGTAGCCACTCAAACCATTGTGGCTCAAGGTTCGGCTCCAGAGTTGCTCATACTCACCTGGCACGCCCAGTCGCGGGATGACGAGCCGTGCCATGGTTGAGGGCCAGTACTTGCTGAAGGTCGCGGAGAAGGTTGTCCTCGCTGTCTGCGCCATGGTTGTGTGGGAGAAGGCCAGCCAGGCCGTCCAGGAGATAGGCGGCTTCCTGCGCCCCGACCAGCCCATCGACCGCCTCATGGACGGCCTGTCCGCCGAGGAGCAGCTGCGGTTTGCCCTCGAGTGCCTGGCCGCCCTCGAGTCGATGTCGCCCAAGCGCCTGAAAGGCGATCTCGCTGTCCGCGCTCCCAGCTCTCAGTGAGGCAGCCGGCCCCCTCCTCCTCCTCCTCCTCCTCCTCCTCCTCCTCCTCCTCCTCCTCCTCCTACTCCTCCTCCTCCCCCTTCTCACCCTCCTCCTCCTCCTCCTCCTCCTCCTCCTCCTCCTCCTCCTCCTCCTCCCAGGGGCGCCGTAGGCCGTGTCCCCTCCCGCACGTGGACATGATGTTCGAACCCCGTGGCCCAAGATGCCATCCCATATCCGAACCCATATATATATATATATATATATACACCTGGGCCCAAGGTGCCACCCCAAGTGGCCCAGGATGCCGCCCCATGGCCCAAGATGCCAGCCCATGATGCTCCCTCCCGTCCCATATTTGGACCCCGTGGCCCAAGATGCCCCCCAGACCCCCCGCAAGTAATCTTGATGGCGTGGCGACGGGGGGGGGGTCTGCGAGTGGGCGGAAGGATTCGAACCCCAAAGCACCGCATTCACCGAGATCAACATTGATGTCGGGGGCGCGGGGGTAATTTAGAATCTCCCTCGAATGTGTAAGGGTTCGAGTATATTGTCCATCTACTGTCCCTCCCTCCCTCCGCCTGGCACCTGCAGAGAAAGAGATCTCCCTTCGCCTCGCTTGCCTCCTCCACGTGGTGCGAGACACTTGTCTCGAGACCAGCCTGCACTCGCGCGGGGCGGGCCCCCTGGCGCCGCCGGTGGGCGTCGCGGGCCGGCTCCAAGATTTGCTTTTGTGCGAGTGTCTCCCAGATCTTCGAGCGAGGCGCAGTCTGCCCGCGTCGTTCCCTAGTCTTCCTTCGTCTTCTGCGCTGTTCCACGCGACACGCGTACCAGTCCACCCGCGTCATGCCCTTTTCGTATTTTGCGATATCCGCACAGAATATGGCAAAATACTGGCACAGTAGGTGGCGCTCGGCAGTTTAGCATCCTGGTCGCGCGCGTCAGCACGTGCCTTAGATTTGGACGAATCTTGTATCATTGAAGTGGGCGCCCCCCTCTTGCCACCCCACCGGCCACCCATCTGACGGGATTCTGCGGCTGGCCTGGGGTGTTCCGAGGTTTTGCGGAATCGCAAGCGGCGTGCATTTCAAGGTGTTGGCACCACATCTCCTCTCATCCTTCATCCGCCTTCTGTCCAAGTCTTTCTCAGTTCATCTGCGTGCTGCCCCAGTCAGTTCGCATTCTGATCTATTCCATGCGACCGACGTAATGGTGCGCGGGACATACGCATCGTAGAACGTATCCTTCGATTGTTTCACAGGTTTGCGTTGAGTTGTCACGCGCCCTGAAATAGGGAGAATTTGCTTCTGAGTCAGCGCCTGCAACATATGCAAATGCACGCGCCTCCAGTTCAGGGGGACTCGCTTGTGCTCGTGCTATTGTGCTCAGCCTGATGAGGATTCGTCCATGTATATTATTAGTTGCGCGCGGCCTGGAACTAGGTAGCTCTATTCTTGACGCTTCGCGTATCCCGTATCCCCACCAGCTCCCCCGCTGCTTGTCTCCTCCGCCGTCTTTTCTCTCGTTGTCCTTCCTGCCCCCTCTCTTGCGCAATTTAGGCCGTAGCTAGCGCGCTCTGACTTTGACGGCGTGCGGCACCTCGGTATCGCTTGCGATCAAACAAATAATCCCAACCAGCCCATCCACAAACGAGGCCCAGGCGAGTTGCCTTGATCAGGGAAGCGGAGGAGCATGCAGTGGATCAAGAGCTGGGGAAGTCGTCAAACTGAAGTCTTGGATTTGCCTGCGCAGACCTAGGAGCAAACCGTATGCGCCTTCGCGGACCTTCCGAATGAGGAAAGTCTGGGAAGAAGTACGAGGGGGAGAAGGGAGAGGAGGAGGAGGAGGAGGAGGAGGAGGAGGAGGAGGAGGAGGAGTAGAAGGAGGAGGAGGAGGATACATTGGACGAGAAGGAGGAGGAGGAGGAGGAGGAGAGGGAAGGGGGAGCGGGAGGAGGGAGGAGGGAGGGGGAGACATAAGCGGATGAAAAGGAGGAAGAAGAGGAGATAGAGGAGGAGGAGGAGAGGAGGACAATGGCGAGCTTGGGGGCTTCTTGGGGCGTCTTGGGGGCGGTCCCGGAATCCTCTTGGAGCTTCTGGGGTGTCTCGGGGAGCCTCTCTTGGGAGCCTCCTGGAGGCCTCTTGGGCACCTCTCTCGGGGCTCTCATGAAGCGCTCTTGGGGCCATCTTGAAGGAGATCGATTAAATAAAGCGGGAGCTTCAATTTCGCCCCTCCCCCCCGGTCGCGCGAACGAGCGGGGGCCACGAAGGGCAGATAAGGTGGGGCCACAGAAGGCAACGACGGGGCCACTGAGGGTGGCAACTGGGCCACGTAGGACAGCGAAGGGGCCACAAAAAGCGACAGCGGGTCCACGAAGGGCATGCACATGGGGCCACGGCGGGCGCGAACGTGCTGGGGCCACGAAGGGCATGCGTATATTGGGCCGCGGAGGCAAGGACGGGGCCACTAAGGGCAGCAACGGGGCCACGAAGGGCAGCGAGGGGGGCACAAAAAACGACAGCGGGGTCACGAGGGGCATGCATATGGGGCCACGACGGGCGCGAACAAGCGGGGGCCACGAAGGGCATACATGTATGGGAACACGAAGGGCAGCGAGGGGGCTACGAAGGGCTGCAACGGGGCCACGAAGGGCAGCCAGGGGGCAAGAAGGGTTGCAACGGGGCCACGAACGGCAGCGCGGGTACCGCGAAGGGCTGCAACGGGGCCACGAAGGGCAGCAAGGGGGCCACGAAGGGGTGCAACGGGGCCACTAAGGGCAGCTAGGGGCCACGAAGGGCTGCAACGGGGCCACGAAGGGCAGCGGGGTGCCACGAAGGGCTGCAAAAGGGCTACGCAGGCCAGCGAAGGGGCCACGAAGGGCTGCAACGGGGCTACGCAGGGCAGCGAGGGGCCACGAAAGGCTGCAACAGGGCCACGAAGGTTAGCAAGGGTGCCACGAAGGGCTGCCACGGGGCCACGAAGGGCAGCGATGGGGGCCACGAAGGGCTGGAACGGGCCCACGACTGGCAGCGAGGGGGCCACGAAGGGCTGCAATGGGGCCACGAAGGGCAGCGAGATCCCGTTTCTTAAAGAACATGCGAGGGAGTCCTAAGCGTGAGCGCGACTCCTGGGTGCCTGAGTGTCGGGAGCGCGGCGTTTGAGTAAGTTGCGAGAAATACCAACCGCAAGGGCGCTATTCTCGAGCAGATCGGAAGCGAGCCTCCAGCGAGAACGCGACTCCAGAGCGCCGCAGGAGCGCTTCCAGAATGAATCGTCGGGAAATCCCAAGCGAGATCGCTATTCCTGAATACAATGGGAGGAGCGACGTCTCAGGCGGGAGCGGGGGTCCTGCCTAGATTATGAGGAGGTTTCAGGTGGGAACAGTTGTTGTTGTTAAACCGGGGGCGGACAACACAGATGCAGCAGGAAGACTTTCCCTGATACGGAAATTAGGTGCGAGCGCCATGAGGAGCACTTCAATTGAAAAATACAATGGGCACCAGAGGGGGGATCAACAAACATTTTTCTTCACATGTGAGAATTCAACAACCACAACAATCATTTTAAGACTATCCGCTCCTATCTGCTCATGTTCTCATCAGTACGTATATCCCAGATACTCGGTACCCGCTCTCGTCGTCTTCGATCGGTACCCCCTTGGAGGTATATCTTCCTTACCTTGCATTGTTTTTAGTGCAGCCCCTAAAGCAAGAGAAGGTCAGGGGTGGACAGAACCCCCAACAGTGACACGTCGATCAGTGACTTCTCCGTTTACGGTTCTCGAGAGGGCGCCGTGGCCGTCATTTTCCAGGTTTGCGCCCGCCAGGTTTGGGCCTCAGGTCGTTTTCACTAAACCACGTTTTAATTAAGGGGGGGGTTGTCCATCCCCGAGAAGAATGGCCGGGTGGAAGGGGGATGGATAATAGTGGAGCACGACAGAAATTAGCAGGAGGAGGATAAGGAGCAGAACGCAAGTGGTAGAACCAGACGGGCAGATCGGGTGGGCAGACCCATAGCGGGCAGATCGGGAAGGCGGGCCCAGGCGACGAGGTCGAGCAGGCGGGTTGCTGAAGCGTGGGTCCTGCATGGATCGCGCGATACCTAAGTAAATCATGAGAAAAGCCATCGTGGGCCACGAAGGGTGTAAAATCCGAGGCCGCAGAGGGCAGCGACGGGGCCGCTGAGGGCAGCACCGGGGCCAAGAAGGGCAGCGAGGGGGCCACAAAGGGCGACAGCGAGGCCACGAAGGGCATGCATATGGGGCCACGACGGGGGCAAGCGAGCGGGGGCCACGAAGGGCATTCGTATACGGGGCCACAAAGGGCGACGGCGGGGCCACCGAGGGAACACAGGGGCCACGACGGGCAGCGAGGGGCCACGAAGGGCGACAGCGGGGCTACGAAGGGCATGCGTATGGGGCCACGACGAGCGCGTGCGAGCGGGGGCCACGAAGGGCACGTAATGCGGGGCTACAAAGGGGGGCAGCGACGGAGCCATTGAGGGCAGCAACGCGGCCACGAGGGGCAGCGAACGACGGCGACCGCGGACGTAGTACGGGCAGCGAGGGGCATCGAAGGCGGGCGAAAGACAGCGAGCAGCGACTGCAGTCATTAACGGGTTGGTCGGGCGGGCATGCCCCGACGGGCGGGTCGAGCGGGCGGGTCGTTGAAGCTTGAGTCCTGCTTGAACCGCCAGGCAGTATTTTTCTGCGGGAGTGCGATTCCTGAGTGTCGAGGACCGGCATCTGAATAAATTGTGAGGAAATATCAGGCGAAGCGGTTCGGTGGTAAGTTGCGAGGAGGTCCCAAGCGAGAACGCGAATCTGCAATACGTTGTCAAGAAGTATCAAGCGGGAACCGCGATTCGGTGGTAAATTGCCCGGAAGTACCAAGCGAGAGCGCGATTCTTCAACCAAAAGGATGAGGATGTATCATGCGGGAGCCGTTGTTGTAAACCGGGGGCCAACGACACAGTTTGAGTTTCAAGACTTTCCCTGATAAAGAACATGGTGCGAGCCGTGGGAGGGGCACTTCTATCGAAAAACGATGTACACCGGGCGGGGGGTATCAACAATACTTCTTCTTCAGAAGTGAGAGTTCAACAACAGCAGCAACAACGACAGCAACGCAACAAACCAGGGACCATGAATGACCGTTCGGCCCCCTCATTCTGATACTAAAAAGGAACATTGATGAACCCCTCCCCAAAGGGAAGAAGGGGGTTGGAAGAGGAACCTCCATGGACCACCTACGCCCAAAAGGCTGGTGGGATTAGCTATGTGCTCACTTTCTCGAGCATGGCGGGGTCACAGGTTCGATGGTTCGCCGGGTGCTGATTTTATTGGCCTTTACCGGACGGCTTGCCTTGCCTGGCCGTTCGATGTTTAAGTGGGCGTCGGCTTCTTGCCACTGGCCGCCCTTCTGACGGGCGTTTGCGCCTTGCCCACAGGGGCGCCGAGTTGCTGTGGACCCTGCGTGGGCCCTCGCGATTTTCGCAGGCAGCGTTCGTGCCAATGCTGGCACCACACCAGGTGACTCCTCCTTCCTTCCTCTCTCTCCCTTCATCCGCCCTGACATCCATCCAGCTGGGCATAAGTGGCGTTGGTTAATTCGTTATTCCGAGGTTGCTCCCTGTTCCGAGTCGCTCCCGGCCCCTCTTAGAAACCAAGTAGGCGCGTTTGGGAAAAGCAACACATCGTTTAGGCACCGTGGTACCAAATCAGGCTTGCACGCTGTCGCGCAGGAGATGCTCTGAGAACAATACCGTCCCAGCCAGAACTGGTTGAAGAACATCTTGGGCAAACTACACAAGGTTCTCAGGGCACCAGGCAAGCCAGGACGCCTCGCCACTGCTCGAATACCGTTCTTACCATGAGAGACACAAGTCCTGAGGGAATCGGACCCTGGACCCTGGGGCCTTGCCCCAGGACGAGTTGTTCATCCCAGCCGTTTTCTGACTGTCCTGGGGCCCGCGGAGGGTCCCGAGACCGGCAGCCTCGAGACGGGGGTCAGTGCAAACGGGGGTCAGCCAGAGCGCCGGACCTTGCAGGATCCTGCAGGGCCAGGGTCGCACTGACCCGGGCTTGGGTGCAGGATCCTGCAGGATCCTTCGCATGGACCCGGGTTTGGGTCCAGGATCTTGCAGGACCTTGCAGGTTGCTGCAAGGTCTGACTGACCTGGGGCTGGATTGACCCGGGTCAGAAGATCCCCGCCGAGAGCCCGAACACGGCGAGAAACCCGAGCGCCCGCTTCGCTCGGGACCCGCTTGCCCCCTGGCGACCACCCTCTTCGATCCTCTGACCACCTGCTGCCCTCGCGTGAGGCCCAGCTACAAGAGCAGCGCGCAGAGCTCCAATCTTCCTCGAGGCTTTTTGACCCAGAGCTCCATTGCGATATTCCATTATAGTAGGTTATAGTAGTTTGTGTTACCTCAGTTGTTATTAGATTGTGCTCGATTATATTAGATTATACTGTATTGCATGAGATGGTAGTGTGATTAATTATTCGTTCCAGTAGTATGGTATTCATCGATCTTAAGTTACACTCGATTGCTATGCTATCGTGTATGATATGTTGTACTGGTACAGTATATACCAATGTATTGGTAATTGCATGATCTGGTTTAGTATGGCCTTCGGTCTGTATTGATATGTTATGGTGTAAGTTATTTTATTCGGTCATAGTGTTATGTTCTCTTGTATACGAGTCGCTTTGGTCACACGTTGTTTTGTTACATGCTAGTATTCTAGTGCAGTCGGGTCTATTACACTCGAGTCTAGTTCATTATATCATACGCCGTTGTGCTATAGTCTGTTCGACCCCATTCGATCATGTCATGTTCAGGGCTGCTCATCATACTATGGTATACTATGTTCTGCCCTCTTCTATCATGGCCGACTCTCCTTGACCGCCGAGCCCCCCGTGGCGAGACGCGGGGTCAGCCCGCGTGCGCAGCCGCAGCGCTCGGGGGCGCGCGGCCCCCACGCCTGCGGGACGGGGCCCCGCCCCCCGGAAGGCCGGCGCCACGCCCCCCCGGGGGGCACGCCGCGCCGCCCAGGGAGAGAGAGCAGACCTCGGAGGAGGAAAAGGTGACCTCTTCCTCTTCCTCCTCCTCCTCCTCCTCGTCCTCCTCCTCCTCCTTTTCCTCCTTCTTTCCCTCCTTCTGTCCCTCCGTCTTTTCCTCCTCCTCCGCCTCCTCCTCCCTCTCCCCCTCCTCCCTCTCCTCCTCCCTCTCCTCCTCCTCCCTCTCCTCGTGCTCGTCTGCGTGCCGCGGGTAAAAACAGAGTCAGTTATTCCCTATTGGTGGGACCCCAGTCCTTCAATAATATGGCCGCCGGACATACAATGAGTTACCACCTATTCGGGTGAGTCTAAAGACCTTTTAGGCTTACTGCTACCCTTCCCTCGTTTTCCCCTTTGGGGGCCTCCTGGGAGGCTCTCGTTTCCACCGCTGGATTCGCTTCGATGTTCTGGTCAGAGCGCGCCCCTGGAGAGGTCCGGGGAGTAGCGGTAGCGGTACCCTTTTGATTTCTCCTCCCCGCTCCTTTCCCCCTTCTTTCACCCACCCGGTGGCCAAATGGGGGAATGTCTGGCCGTCGTGGCGTCCGAGGACTGCCCTTGTCGCCAGGGCGCTCCTGTTCTGAGGCGGCTCGCCGCCTCGCCCTCCGCAGGGCCGCACCCATTCCAGCCCGTCCCCCTCCTCCCCCCGCCCGCCCGCCCCGTCGCGACCCCCCCCCTTGACGAACGAACGACACACACCCATACCAATAAGGGGGTCGTTGGGAGGAGGACTGGCTATGGGTATGGGTGCGGGTTGTCGGACCCTAGGGAACGCTCCCGTTCGAGCGGGGACCCCCATCCGACAACACGCACCCCTAGCCCTTTCCGACCCCCCTATGGGTATGGGTGTGTGTTGTTGGTTCGTCACCCCTCCCCCCGTTCTCTCCTGCCACCTCCCGCTGCCAGTACACGTCGGGCAAGATCAAGGGCCGCGGGATCGTCCTCTGAGGTCGGCCGGCGGCGAGCGCAGCGGGCGCCGGCGCGAGCGGCCTCGCGCCGCCGCGACTGAGGCGGGGTCCCGAGGGGAGAGTCGGGGGCTCCTCCTCCTCCTCCTCCTTCTCCCCCTCCTCCTCCCTCCTCCTCCTCCTCCTCCTCCTCCTCCTCCTCCTCCTCCTCCTCCTCCTCCTCCTCCTCCTCCTCCTCCCCCAGCGGTGCGGTGTGATGGTGGCCGCGGGTGGCCACCCGGTTTGGGGACCGGGTACGTTCTGCCCAAGCCTCGTGCAAGCGGGGCGTTGGCAAGAATCAGGAGGGACAAAAACACACAGACACAATGAATCGTCGACCCCCCAGAAAATATGGGAGAATATGGGAAGTGGGGGGGAAGATCAAAATCCAGAAAATATTGGAAATATGGGGAATCTGTTTTATTTGTGTGTATTTATTTGTGTGTCCTGGGGCCCCTTTAAAGAACGGGCCGGCAGCGAAGGGCGCGTGTTCAGTGGTGCTGTCAGAGGCCGATGTGCCGCGCACAGGTGCGAGGTGCGTTGTGAGGATGCGTCGGCGCTCTTGCCGTCCCGATGTATCGCGCACTGGCGCGAGGCACATGCCCCGTCGCCCCGCTCTCGCCTGACGCGGCCCCTGAGCTACCGCCCGGTTTGCCAGCGCCCAATCGGCAGGGTCTCAACGAGGGCGTCTGGGCCGGCTGGGGCCTCCCGGGCCCGCCAACCGCGCGGTGACGCATCGCGCGCTGTGGCCCCTGCGGATGCCGAATCCCCGGGAGACGGCTCCTGGAGATGATCTCGGCCAGGGTCAAGTCGGTCACGTCCCACTACAGGAGGAAGATTCAAGACCAGTCAACAAAACAGTCTGGCGACGATTTGTTCTATTGTTTCGGACTCTGTTGTTGAACATTGTTTGGCTATGTCTTGTTTTTCGTCCAAAATCCGCCTGTTGGATTAAGTCGGGCCTGTCCCTCTACAGAGGGAATATTCAAAGATGGTCAAACATAGAATGGGGGCGATTTCTGGATTACTTCCCTGTATATGTTTTGCTGCTACGCTATGGCTATTTGTGCACGTGACCCATGCATGCCATGGCTATTCGTGCTTTGTTAACTTGTGGCCATAACATAGATGTGTCTTTGTGCCTGCTGTGCTGTGGCTCTTCGTCCAGAGCCCCCCTGCAGGGGACACGCCCCACCGAACCTGCAGGAGGACATGCCCGACCTCTGCCCCGAGGGCCCCGGCCATCCCAGGCTTTGGCGTGGCGGTGGTGTGCAGATGCCCTTGCCAGGGGCGCCCTGCGGATCGGCCTCCTCCTCCTCCTCCTCCTCCTCCTCCTCCCTCCTCCTCTTCCTCCTCCTCCTCCTCCTCCTCCTCCTCCTCCTCCTCCTCCTCCTCCTCCTCCTCCCTCCCCCTCCTCCTCCTCCTCCTCCTCCTCCTCCTCCTCCTCTCCCTTCTCCCCCTCGTACTTCTTCCCAGACTTTCCTCATTCGGAAGGTCCGCGAAGGGCTGCTGCGAGCCGCGCGGCTCGACGAGGCGCAGAGACCCGGCTCGCCGAGGGAGGCCCTGCACTCGGGCTCCTCGGGGCCCGCGCGGCTCGGGGCCCGCTCTGAGGGGCGCGTTTTCCCACCGCCACCGCTAGAAGTTGGAGGGAGGGGGCTCCGCCTCCGCCTCCTACTCCTCTTCGTCCTCCTCCTCCTCTTCGTCCTCCTTCTCCTCCCCCTCCTCCTCCTCCTCCTCCTCCTCCTCCTTCCCCCTTCCAACTTACGGTGGTATTGGAAAACACGTTCATCACGCTTCCTTCGCACCAGGACTCAGTCGGACACGTCCCTCTGCAGGAAGAGCATTCCCAATCAGTCAAGAAATAGTTGCGGGCGATGTTTTCCGATGCTGTGTACCGATTTTGCGGAGTATGTTTTGACTAGTTGTCATTTGTCTTCCAAGTCCGCTTGTGAGAGGGCATGCCCGACCGAAGTCCAGGGCCAGTTGGCTTCGGGGCTCGGCTCTTGCACACCTGGGAGGCCTCGCGCATTTATTTCCTTCGGAGGCCTGGGAGTCGAATGTTGTCGTGCCACACTTCGGCCACGCGCAGAGGGGGTTGCAGCGGAGGCCCATGCAACGAGACGCCCTGCTTGCCTCCAGGGTGCCCTGGGTTTCCTGATGTTCGATGGTGTTGCTTTGGAAAGCGTGACGTTCCCGCACCAGAAATCAATGCATGTCCTGTGGTCTCAGGGTTGAGTTTTTTCCCAACCATCCTGTGGTGTTGGGTCCTCGTTTAGAAGAGACGGTGCCCCGCGTTCCTCCTCTCCTCCTCTTCCCCCTCCTCCCTCCTCCCATCAGCATCATCATCATCATCGTCATCATCATCATCGTGGCCCCATAGGGAGCTCCACCGAAGGCCCCAGTGCTGCCGCCCGCATGCGTCAGCCACACCCAATTCGGCATACCCCTCACACGTTTCGTGGCCCCATAGGGAGCTCCACCGAAGGCCCCAGTGCTGCCGCCCGCATGCGTCAGCCACACCCAGTTCGGCACACCCCTCACACGTTTCGTGGCCCCATAGGGAGCTCCACCAAAGGCCCCAGTGCCGCCGCCCGCATGCGTCAGCCACACCCAATTCGGCACACCCCTCACACGTTTCGTGGCCCCATAGGGGAGCTCCACCAAAGGCCCCAGTGATGTCGCCCGCATGCGTCAGCCACACCCAATTCGACACACCCCTCACACGTTTCGTGGCCCCATAGGGAGCTCCACCGAAGGCCCCAGTGCTGCCGCCCGCATGCGTCACGCACACCCAATTCGGCACACCCCTCACACGTTTCGTGGCCCCATAGGGAGCTCCACCGAAGGCCCCAGTGCTGCCGCCCGCATGCGTCACCCACACCCATTCGGCACACCCCTCACACGTTTCGTGGCCCCATAGGGAGCTCCACCGAAGGCCCCAGTGCTGCCGCCCGCATGCGTCACCCACACCCAATTCGGCACACCCCTCACACGTTTCGTGGCCCCATAGGGAGCTCCACCGAAGGCCCCAGTGATGCCGCCCGCATGCGTCAGCCACACCCAATTCGACACACCCCTCACACGTTTCGTGGCCCCATAGGGAGCTCCACCGAAGGCCCCAGTGCCGCCGCCCGCATGCGTCAGCCACACCCAATTCGGCACACCCCTCACACGTTTCGTGGCCCCATAGGGAGCTCCACCGAAGGCCCCAGTGCTGCCGCCCGCATGCGTCAGCCACACCCATTCGGCACACCCCTCACACGTTTCGTGGCCCCATAGGGAGCTCCACCGAAGGCCCCAGTGCCGCCGCCGCATGCGTCCCCACACCCATTCGGCACACCCCTCACACGTTTCGTGGCCCCAGCTCCACCGAAGGCCCCAGTGCTGCCGCCGCATGCGTCCCACACCCATTCGCACGAACCCCTCACACCGTGGCCCATAGGGAGCTCCACCGAAGGCCCCAGCATGCGTGCGCCACACATGCGTCATGCGTCACACCCAATTCGGCACACCCCTCACACGCTTTCGTGGCCCCATAGGGAGCTCCACCGAAGGCCCCAGTGATGTCGCCCGCATGCGCCCAGCCACACCCAGTTCGGCACACCCCTCACACGTTTCGTGGTCCCATAGGGAGCTCCACCGAAGGCCCCAGTGCCGCCGCCCGCATGCGTCAGCCACACCCAATTCGGCACACCCCTCACACGTTTCGTGGCCCCATAGGGAGCTCCACCGAAGGCCCCAGTGCTGCCGCCCGCATGCGTCAGCCACACCCAATTCGGCACACCCCTCACACGCTTTCGTGGCCCCATAGGGAGCTCCACCGAAGGCCGCAGTGCCGCCGCCCGCATGCGTCAGCCACATCCAATTCGGCACACCCCTCACACGCTTCGTGGCCCCAGCCCGCATGCGTCAGCCACACCCATTTCGGCACACCCCTCACACGTTTCGTGGCCCCATAGGGAGCTCCACCGAAGGCCCCAGTGCCACCGCTCGCATGCGTCCCGCACACCCATTTCGGCACCTCCACCAAACACAGCGTTTCGTGGCCCCACAGGGACCTCCACCGAAGGCCCCAGTGGTGCCGCCCGCATGCGTCACCCCCACCCCAGCACAGCATTTCGTGGCCCCACAGGGAGCTCCACCGAAGGCCCCAGTGGTGCCGCCCGCATGCGCCAACCCCACCCAACACAGCGTTTCGTGGCCCCACAGGGAGCTCCACCGACGGCCCCAGTGGTGCCGCCCGCCTGCGTCACCCCCGCCCAGTACAGCGTTTCGTGGCCCCACAGGGACCTCCACCGAAGGCCCCAGTGGTGCCGCCCGCATGCGTCACCCCCGCCCAGCACAGCGTTTCGTGGCCCCACAGGGAGCTCCACCGAAAGCGGCAACCGCAATGCGATATTCACAACTGCGCATGGTTGGGTCCTTCGCCAGGATAATTGTGGAAGGTTTCTTGTGGACTGGCCTTCACTGTAGGTGGAGGGGGAAAGGCTTCTTAGAAGCACCCCTGCTTCTTACAAGGCGCTGGCCTTATCTATGGATGTGAGGCCGGGGCCTTCAGAGAGGCAGGGTGCTTCTACGAAGCCTTCCCCTCTACCCCAACCCCCTTTTGCGCGCCGCCAGACACCACTGCAGGGACCTCACGGATCAATGTGGCCCGAGGGGTGCCGCAGAGAATAGCATGTTGTCAGAAGTTGAGCACGGCCTCCGAAAGCACGTGTGTTTTTGTGAGCCGCATCCAGTTCCCAAAGAGCCCTCCGCTTTTTCAGGCCGCAGAGGGTTGCGTTTTCTTTCGAGGTCGAACTCGGCTTCAACAGAAAGCGCAGATCTTTCGATGGGGTGGAGGGCTCCAGCGTTAAGTCGGACATGTCCCCCTACAGGGGAAATATTCAAAAATGGTCCAAAACAACTCTGGGGCGTTTTCTTTGTTTGTTTGTTTGTTTTTCCCAACCATCCTGTGGTGTTGGGTCCTCGTTTTGAAGAGACGGTGCCCCGCGTTCCCGCCTC